CCGCCGCCCCGCCCCGGCCGGGGTGTCCCTCCCGGGCCCCAGTCTCCCGATGCACCCCCAGTAGTGGGGTCCCTGGACCATTTCCAAGGATGACCACAAATATGCTCAAAGGCAGACGAGCCGGGGGTCAAGGCCCAGGAGGCCACAGCCAGACGGAGCCTGTGCCAGGAGCCCCAGGACCGCGAGCTTGGGGAGCCCTCTGCCCGCTGATGGCCTGGGGCACAGTGAAGGCGCCAGAGGAGGTGAGAGCCGCGGGTGGAGAGCAGCGGCGGGGGGAGACCGGCGGGCCGGGCAGGGGCCTGGGCTGGGCGCCGGGGACTGCAGGTGTCCTGTGTGACAGGGGGTGTCCGACCCCACACGTCCACTGAAGGTCGTGGGCGCTCCGACCCTCAGCCTAAGAGCCAGGCCCCACGTGGGAGCAGGGGACAGAGACGGGGCGTGACAGGGCCAGGCTGGGCTGGGGGCCCGGCGAGACGGGGGTCAGCAGGGCCGTCTGTGCCTCTCGTCCTGTGAGCACTGCACGGGCAGCTGTGAGCCTGTGCGGGATGGCAGGCTGAACCCCAACATCAGGCTGGACAGGCCCAAGGGCCCGCGGTCAACCGAGACTCAACAGCGTCTCGGTTACGAGCTGCGGTGACACCGTGGTGGCAGACACAGCCCAGCCCCCACCTGTCAGCTACTCCGCTGCCTCGCCGAGCTCAGAGGCCCTGCGGCTGGCTCCTGGAGACGCCACACCCGTGCTCCCAGCCAGCGGCTCTGCCCTGGCAGCTGAGGGGCCCCGTGGGCAGCTCCCGCTCCATCGCCTGACTTTTCCTCACCACCTTATTCCCTCTCTTCCTTCTTTCCAACACAAGGTGGGAGGCGCAGGGACCCCCAGGGCACTGGGCTGCTGAAGGCACTGGCCTGGGGCCAGGCTCTGTCCCCGGGGAGGGAGGAAGCGCACCGGCCCCAGACCGGCCAGCAGAGGGCGCTACAGGTCAAGGGCTGGCGCCTGTGGGCGGCTCACCTGATGGAGACAACGAGGGTCAGCACCTCCAGCAGCAGGGCCGCCCCGAAGACCCCAAGGGCTGCGGGTGGGGGCGGCGTGCTGGCGGCCCCATACTTCAGGAAGCAGGTGGTGGAGAGAATCAGAAACACGGTGGTTGACAGAAACACGTCCAGGAGGGAGCTGAAGGTGGCGCTGGCAAAGGTCTTGGCGGGAGAATTCTTCGCCACCTGTTTGGAGGGGCGGTGGGCATGAGGAGAGGCTGCTGGGTGGCACGCCCCCCCCAGGCACAGGGTGCGTGTGCCTCAGGGGCGTCTCCCTAAGTCCCCCCAAGGGGAGGAAACTGAGCGGAGGAGTGAGGACTCCCGCCCAGGGGCACACCGCGGCTGGCCATGAGCCCTCCGGAAAGCTGGGCGCGGACCGGC